TTGTAAGGAGGGACTGATCATAAACTTTCAAGTTAAGAGAGGGTCAGGGATAGTGGAAGTGCCTAAGGAATTTGGCAGCGAGGTTTCCAGGATCTTGAGGGGTCATTTACTACTGTCTAGTGTAACCTTAGTCACGGGACCCTTCAGATGGATATCAGTGGGCCCTGTGTTTAGAGGATGATTGCTAACATATATCTTGGGGCGGAGGTAGTGATTAAAAAAAATCAAAGGGATTTTTATATGCTAAAGAAGACTTACGGGATCCTTGAGGTAGGATTAATGTCAAGCTGAGGTTGCCTTTGTCTCTAACAAAGTATTAACATTTAGGCAGCTGGGCACCTTGAGGAGGGTCACTCTTCCTGTCCCACATACTTGTCCATGGGCTCTAAGTTGTAAGGAAGTTTAATTAAAGTAACTTTTACCTTTGCTTTCCACATCATTTACTATTTTCTCCATTAAATATTGCAGATCTTTTGTTAGATTTAATTCTTAAGTACCTAGTAGTTTTTATTTGTTAGCTATTTTATATACTTCTCAATAATCACAATAGAGGACTGTTACTGATACTTTTGTGTCTTGTACTCTCTTATTCTCATTTTCCTAGCAGACAATTAATGTGTAAATAATGGCAGTTTTGTTTTTCTTTTCATCCTGCATTTTCTTTCATGGTTGGTTAGTTTGGCCCTCATTATCCTATGACATGTATTGAATGCAAGAGGTGGTAGTAGACATTCAAACTGTTAATATGTGAATTAGATTATTATTTTTTCTGAGATTCCTGAGATAAATCCTAATATAGTACATTATTTCAGATAAGATGCTTATTTTAAAATCATTGTTGGATTGAGTTTGATAGTATTTTATTTAGGATTATTATATCTGTCCATAAATGAAAAACAAATTGTCCTATAATTTTTCTTTCTTGTAATGGCCTTGTTCTGGTTTTGGAAACAGTGTTATATAGCCTCAAAAAATTCAGTGGGGAGCTTTTGCTCTTTTTCTGTTCTCGAGAACAATTTCTATAAGATGGAATATCCTTAAAAGTTTTGTAGACTTCACCTATAGATTTTTGGTGGGAAGACTTTTTTAAGTATTATTCAGTTATATTAGTGGCTAGAATAGTCCAGTTTTCTAGCTCTTTCTGTAGCTTTTTATGGAAGTATACATAGAAGTAAATATTTATAAAAGTAATCATATAAATGTACTTTGTGTTTTATTTTATTTAACATTATATTTGAGAGATTCACTTATATTGCTACATATAATTGTAGTTTTTCACTTTAACTACTGTGTGATTTTATATTATGTGATTATACCATAATACCATAATTTATCCATTATACTTAGTGCACATTTGGGTAGTTTCCAGTCTTTGCCTATTACAAATAATGCTACTAAGAATGTTCTAGCCCATGCCTTTTGGTGGACATGCATTTGCATTTCTGTTGTCTAGGGGCAAAATTGCTGAGGTAGACACGTGTTCAGCTTTAGTAGATGCTCCTGAACAGTTTTCAAAAATGATTATCGATTTTTGTTTCTTCTTGAATATCAAGTTTTAGTAAGTTACATTTTTCCTAGAAAATAATCTATTTCATCATAGCTATTAATATGAATAAAATATTCTTATTCTTTTTTAATGTTTGCCATGGTATCTCTTGCATTATTCCTAATACAATTTATGTCCCTTTCTTTGTCTTGTCATCAGGGTTGCCAGGTTTTCCATTTTACTTGAGTTTTCAAACAACCAACCTTCAGGGCACCTGGGTGGCTCAGTTGATTAAGCATCCGACTCTTGATTTACCACACACACACACACACACACACACAAAATATATATATATACAAAATATATAATATATATAAAATATATATATATATAATCTTTTTTTTTAAAAGCCCAACATTGGACTTTATTGATTCTGTCTTTATTTTCCATTTTATTTACATCTGCTCCCAAATCTCTCAGCTAACATCTGCTCTCATTTTATTTCTTTAGATTATTACTATTTTCTCTAACTTCTTGAATATACTTAATTCTTTGTCAGTCTTCATTTTCTTAAGGTCAATATTTTAAAATTATATCTATTTAATTATATCCCACCAGCTTTGATAAGTAATAGTCTCAATTTTATTCTTTTTTTTTTTTTTAAGATTTTATCTATTTGTTTGAGAGAGAGCACACATACATGTGAGTGGAAAGAGGGGCAGAGGGAGACGGGGAGAGAGAGGATCTCAAGCAGACTCCTTGCTGAGTGCAGAGCCCGGTGCAGGGCTTAATCTCATGACCCTGAAACCATGACCTGAACTGAAAGCAAGAGTTGGATGTTCAATTGACTGTGCTCAGTTTTATTCACTTGTAGCTATATTCTAATATATATTATGGGTTTTTCCATTTCTGATTTCCAGTGTGTGAATTTTTGTTTTGTATTAATTGTAATTTTGATATCAATTTCAAATGTAATTGCATTGTGGCCAAAAAATATAGTCTGTGTAGTATTTACATTTTGGTGTTTATGGACATTTCATAAGGACTTAATGTACCATTACTTTTTAAAATATTTTATCTATGATAGAAAAATATACTATAAATACTGAGTACAAGCTTATATACACCCACTGATACAATTTGTTATTTATATTCTGTCTTATTAAACTTTATCTGCTCTATCAACAGATGCTAAAAATTAAATACATGTCTGAGTAGTTCTTTTAATTTTTGAGCTTTACGCTGTTGTGTTAGTAAAAATAATAGTGATATGGGGTGCCTGGATGGCTTGGTCAGTTGGGCGTTGAACTCGGTTCCAGCTCAGGCCGTCTCAGGCTTGTGGGATTGAGCCCCGCGTTGGCTCTGTGCTCAGTTGGGAGTCTACCTGTCCTTCTCTCTACTCCTCCCCCGTTCTCTCACTCTGTCTCACTCTCAAATAAATAAAATCTTAAAAAAAAAAATACTGATGCATCTCAGTGATTGTATCAGCACTAATGCCTTTTTTGCTCTTGAAGTCTAATTTATTTGACATGCATATAATGACATCAGCTTTCTTTTGTTGATACTTCTCTGATATTTCCTTTTCCATCTTTTTCCATCAGCGTCTTTATTGATGTTTAGGTTTGTTGTTGGAGGTAGGTGGGAGACATTTCAAAATGGAGAATTTGTCCATGTATATATATTATCACCACCATATTTGAATTTCTTTCAAATTGTTCTAAAACAATTTTATATAATATCTTAGTGTCTCTCTTTAATTTCCCTAATTTTTTTTCAAAACTTTTTTTTTATAATATCTTACCTTTTTAAAAGTCTTCCTTCTATGTCTTAGTCATTTTAAAACTTCTGAAATTATGTTTGTTTTCAGATTGTTATAAATTTAGGTTCTTGGGAGAGGGTGCCTGGGTGGCTTAGTCAGTTAAGCATCTGCTTTTGGCTCAGGTTATGATATTTGGGTCCTGGGATTGAGCCTCACGTCAGGCTTCCAGCCCAGAAGGGAATCTGCTTCTTCCTCTTCCTCTGCCTCTCTCCCCCAACTCGTGCTTGCTCTCTCTCACTCTCTCTCTCTCAAATAAATAAAGTCTTCTTAAAAAATTTAAGTTCTTGGGATCTAATCGTCCTATTTATTGTATACACTGAGTCTTGATTATGATAGGTTTTTTTCCTCGTGGGTTTTGAATTTTGGATGCTAAGTATTTCCAATAGGAGTTTTATCTATAAATCTCATGTAATCTCAGGGTAAGAGGGTGGCCCTACAGAGTAATTTTATATTTGCTTCTGCTTGGCTCCTTGGGTATATCCAACTCTATCCCAGAACCAGTTCTTACATAATTTTTGATGGGTTCTTAAAATACATATTTATGTAACTTCAACCTCAGATTTCTCATTTCTTAATTCTCAGGCAGGCGAGCATTCCTGCCCTCTCCCTCAAAAAGAGCACCTTTTGGGTTCGTTTTTTCTCATCTTCTCTTTCACTAAGGATGTTGCCATTTGAGGATTGTGCCTTTAAGTAGGTGATGAGCTCAGAGTCACTACCTCTTTCCTACCCAAGGCCTCGTCTCCTGAACCCAAATGGTGATAAAGTCCAAATGGTTCTAGGTTAGCAGTATGTGCTCACCCTTATACCTTGGCAGCTTGCTTGCTTACTATTCTGGTTTGCCAGTGCTTGTCTCTGGCACCTTGGGACCTCCATGTCTTCCTTTTATGTTCAGCTATGCATGTGAAATATTTTTTTTAATTTTGTCTTACATTTTTAAATGTTTATAGTAGGAAAAATTTCATGTTATCTCAGTCTGTAATTTACCTAAATCTAGAAATAGAGCATTAAATTGATGAATTAAAATATTGGCAGATAGCTAAAAACATGGATTTTTAAAAAGCGTCATGCAGGGCAGCCTGGTAGCTCAGCGGTTTAAGCGCCTGGGCTTCAGCCCAGGGTGTGATCCTGGTGTCCCGGGATCAAGTACCACGTCAGGCTCCCTGCATGGAGCCTGCTTCTCCCTCTGCCTTTGTCTCTGCCTCTCTCTGTGTCTCTCATGAATAAGTAAATAAAATCTTTAAAGAAGAAGGAGGAGGAGGAGGAGGAAGAAGGAGAAGGAGAAGCTGTGGAAGCTCCGGGTTTCTGGTTGCCAGCAGTGAGTTAGCCTTAGCTCTGTGTCATCTTCCCTGTCATGTCCAGTAGAGCCCTGAAGTCCAGGGGAGATGGCACAGGGTCAGTGAGGCTGAGATTAGGAGTGTCTGTATGCATCTTCCCTTGCTTTCCAGAGCCAAGTTGCACAGATAACTCTGGCAGTATCATTACTTTCTTTCTCTCTGTGCTCCTCCCCCATTTCTCTTGATTTCATCTTGTTGAAGGGTGATGTGATACTTCAGGGTTTGGATTCATTGCATTCAGCAGATCGGCATGACATTTTATTTCCCAATCTATGGATGTGACTTCATTGCAAAAAAAAGCGCCTCCAAGCATTAAGATGGTTCTCCTATGTCTGATCACTATGTATTGATCTGTTTTTAGGGAGGAATGATCAATTGGAATCGTCTTTTCCCTCCTTTACGTCAGCGACGAAATATAAACTATCAGGATGGTCGGCAGTCTGAACAACAAGCATCTCCTCCTCTGGAGGTTTCTGAGGAACAGGTAAGCAGTAACACTGGTGCTTCTCCTAAACCTGTGTTTAGGAGACTTGAAGCAGTCTTGGTAAACCAGACTTGAAAGAAAGCAAGCATACAAAACTTTTGGTAACAGTTAAATTGTTACTGGTAACAGTGATAGACACTTGGGCCTTTATTGGCCACCGTGGGTCTTACAGGTTTGAGGAAGGCATGATTTGGAAAAAAAAAAAAATGTGATCACTTATTTTGAAATCTATAATACTTTATATATAGAGGAAGCTACTGACGTTTTGTTCTCTATAAGGGCTAGGAGAGAACAAGACAGAAGGACTGGGAGGGAGTAATGCTTCTCTAAGTATAGCTTTTGTATGATTTGACTTAGGAATCAGGTTACTATTTTACATAATCAAAAGGCAAATCAACAATAGGGACAACCATAGACCAAAAAGAAACAAATAAAGGATCCAACTGTACTTTAAATGAATAACATAATCATAGGAGAGAGGGAAAAATTAATTTTAGTAATTTTTGAACATAATATACCATCAGTCTAAAGACAAAAAATAATTGCAAAGAAATCATAAGCTCTTCCTGGGTTTATTTTCACAGTAGTAGGAGTACAGCAATTCTGAAATTATATTGTATGTGTATTATAAATTTGAGCAAATGAGGAGCTAGGTTGATCTTACTGTAGAAGAAAGAAAATACAAATACAGGAAGAACCCTGTGGGGTTGGATTGGAATTAGAGGTATTAGTGTAAACTCATGATTTAATAAGAGTGTGTGTGTCTATGTGTATGTGCACATGTGTCTTAACTCTGTCAAACTAAAAGAATCCAAAGCAATGGCATCCCAGTAGCATTGACCACACCTAGTGCCCAGATCTAGTTTCTCAATATGTTGGCCCACTAACAGAAATGAGCCTCTTTAGAGAAATGAAATGGTGGGTCACAGGCCCATGGTTGGGAAGGAACATGATAATCCTGGACCAGCATGCAGGGAATTAAGGAAGTGCTCTGTAACTAAGGGAGCTAGCTTGATGGGATCCCACTGATCAAACTTGGCACATCAGATTTGGATATCAAAATAAATAAGCACAGGGGTGCCTAGGTAGTGCAGGTGGTTAAGTGTCAACTCTTGGTTTTGGTCATGATCTTAGGGTTGTGGGATCCAGCCCTGCATCGGGCTTCCCCGCTCAGCACAGAGTCTGCTTAAGCTTCTCTCCTCTCCCTTGGCTCCTCTTTCTCTCTCTCTCTCTCTCTCTCTCTCTCACACACACACACACACACACGCGCGCGCGTGCGCGTGCTCACTCATGCATGCACATGCTCTCTCTTGCTCTCTCTGAAAAATAAAGCCTTTAAAAATAAATAAATAAGGATAGTACTTAATATAATCCACTGGATGGGGGGTGATGCATGAGTTCATTCTGATATTAGGAGATATTTATGTGGATATATACATCCTCAAGGAAAAAGGAATGTAAAGCAAAAAATAAAGAATGATGGATAGTATTAGAAAATTATAATTTTGCAGCTATCAGAGCAAAAATCAATTTAGGTACAAATCATCAATACACGAAGAATGGACTATTTATGTAATCTCAGAGTATCTCCCCACAAGATACTTTGCTTATTAATTACAAAGGAAAAATAGTTAACTGTACAGTGGAGAGATTGGACACCAGCTTAACCCAGTTATAAGAATCAGTGTACCAGTAATGGACCAAAGGCGCCATGGGCATGCCCTTAAAGGATACATCAGTTATATATTACAATAAAAAATCCAGGGGATCCCTGGGTGGTGCAGCGGTTTGGTGCCTGCCTTTGACCCAGGGCGTGATCCTGGAGGCCCGGGATCGAGTCCCACGTCGGGCTCCTGGTGCATGGAGCCTGCTTCTCCCTCTGCCTATGTCTCTGCCTCTGTGTGTGTGTGTGTGTGTGTGTGTGTGTCTATCATAAATTAATTAATAAATAAATATATTTTTTTAAATCCATAACTTTGGTCATAAAGAAAAAGCAGATAAACCCAATTTGAGGGACATTATATAAAATCCCTGACCCTTGTGCTCGCTTCGGCAGCACATATACTAAAATCCCTGACCCATATTCTTCAGTAGTGACGTCACAAGCTGCTTCCAGTTAGAGACTGAGGAGGCATGTTAAGGACATGTCAGACATGATCCTAGACCACGCTCTGTACCAGGAAGAACTTCAGGTAAACAGACATGTTTGACTGACCTGGTGCAGTTGGACACTGGATTAGATCACAGTATTTATTTATTTATTTATTTTTAAAGATTTTATTTATTCATGAGAGACACAGAGAGAGACAGAGAGAGGCAGAGGCACAGGCAGAGGGAGAAGCAGGCTCCATGTAGGGAGCCCAATGTGGGACTCGATCCTGGGTCTCCAGGACCACACCCTGGGCCAAAGGCGGCGCTAAACCACTGAGCCCCCCGGGCTGCCGTAGATCAAAGTTTTATATAAAGGTTGAGTGTCTAGGAGTTAGTATCTCTACGGACTGTGGTTAGGAAAGAGAATATTCTTGTTCTTAAGAAAATTAACATACTGAAGGGTACAGGGTAAAGGGACATGGTATATGCAGCTTCATCTCACATGTTCCAGGAAAGCATGAGAGAGAGAGAGAGAGAGAGAGAGAGAGAGAGAGAGAGAGAGAGAGAGAGAGAAAGCAGCTGTGGCAAAGTTCTGGTGAGCTGAATGAAGAGTATTTGAGTTCTTGCTATTCTTGAAACTTTTCTATAAGTTTGAAATAATTTCAAACTAGAAAGTTAAAAAAAATATCCATCGAAGAAGTTCAAAGCATTATAATAAGACTTTTAAATTTCCTTCTGGGGATCCCTGGGTGGCTCAGTGGTTTGGCGCCTGCCTTTGGCCCGGGGTGCGATCCTGGAGACCCGGGATTGAATCCCACGTCGGGCTCCCGGTGCATGGAGCCTGCTTCTCCCTCTGCCTGTGTCTCTGCCTCTCTCTCTTCTCTCTCTGTGACTATCATAAATAAAAAAAATAAAAAATTAAAAAATAAATAAATAAATTTCCTTCGCATATGTTGATTTCCTCTCATCCAACAAATCAAGGGCAGCATTCCAAAGCTGGTCATGCCATCCAGGCTGTCACCTGTCCTGTCCCCAGAGTCAATAAAGGTCACTAGGACCCAGGGCACCTGGTCTGGGCAGGGTTCCCACTGCCACCCTGGATTAGGCCACCATAAATGCCTTAGAAAGAAACTGGTTGAATATGCCTGATGAATTGATCTAACTTTTCCCCTCACAACTTCTCACTCAGACTGATCATTTTAGTAGCTTCTTAGGATGGAGAGGTGGAGGAAGGGGATGTTCTCTTCCACCTCCATTAGAGGATTGCTAGAAAAATGGTACCCCCATACATATGAAAATCCCAGTAACTCAGCAATACAATATACATGGTACAATATATATGGTAACATTAAAAAATTAAAAACATTAAAAAATAAGCTAATACTCTCCAATTCAGGTAAAAAGAAGTAGAGTTCTGTTCTATTACTGTTTACTTGCCAGAACCGTGGGTCACATTCATCACAGAACAGCCGTTAACGATATGAGGTATTTAAAGGTGAGATAGTTCTTAGTGTTGACATTTTGAAACAGAAGTGTCAGAACATGACAATAAGGAGAATGTGTGTAATTGAAGTCTTCAGGGTGTTTTAATGAATCATTTTCCTTGATCCTCCCAGAATGACAACAGGTTAACATGTTGTCAGAATCCGTTTCAACGGCATTTACTTCCCTGCTCTGATAGGAAGAGATGTAAATATATCACAGGCTGTTTTTAACATAAGCTTCTTTTTATTCATTGATTTTCTAAACCTTGTGTCTTGTGTTTTTGATTATCCCAAACATGGCTGTTACAGACTGTCATTTCATTAAAACACAGATCCTTCTCTGGGTGTTGCTTGTTATGTAGACTCTTGGCTCTTCTTGTGATAGGTGTTAGCCAAACTGTAAAAAAAAAAAAAAAAAAAAAAGTTCTTGCCCTCAGGATGTTTATAATAACATTAAGAAATATACAGTTCGTGTATAATCTCTTGGTTAGTTTGTTGAGGCTACACACTATCTAAAATAATATTTGTTAGTAATGTAGTCAGCTTGAATGAACAAAACCTCTTTATGCTTCATTCTTCAATTAATCGTGCTATATCTTCTTTATTTAAATATCAGAGTCATGAGATTTTAATACATTCATTAAGAAACTTAATAATTTTCTAAGCCAAGGACAATAAAAACGATTGAGGTTTTTCTGATGTAAAAAAAAATACTTTAGGAATTTTAGTGAGAGTTCTTTAAGGTAGGAAAGCCAGGAATATTCTAAGGAAGAATGTGCATCTCTTATTAAATCTAGTAATAGTCAAACACAGGGCCATAGAAAAACTTTGCCACTTTTTTTTTTAAAGGGACAATTTATTTTTTTTATTTATTTTTTTATTTATGATAGAGAGAGAGAGAGAGAGAGGCAGAGACATAGGCAGAGGGAGAAGCAGGCTCCATGCACCGGGAGCCCGACGTGGGATTCGATCCCAGGTCTCCAGGATCACGCCCTTGGCCAAAGGCAGGCGCCAAACCGCTGCACCACCCAGGGATCCCAAAACTTTGCCACTTTTTCTGCTTAGGTTCTTGTTAAGTTTCTGAATTTTTAGTTCTTCCCAACCTACTTTTATTATTTTTCAACTAGTGGATGGACTCAAAACACCTTTGCCAACTAACTCATTGGCCCTTGAAGATGCCATTCCAGTCCCTTTTAAGAATCTGTCAAAACCTAGCACCACCCTGTCAAACCTCTTTATAATAATAAAATGTACTCAGCTGTCTATTATCTTAAAAATAAGTATATACATTATTCCAATTCTCAAATGTCTCCTATCTTAAAAATAAGTATATATGTTATTCCATTTCTCTTTCTTCTTTTTAACCAGTGATTTTCATTACACCTATACTCTAACAATGAAATTCTGTCCTGTAAACATCCTATT